ACAAGCAATAGTGTTTTTAGGCAAACCTAGAATCACTTCAACATTTGTTAATTTCAGAGTTGAAACCCGTATTTGTCAATTTTATTGATTCTTTGTCAGCTTCCAGCTTCCCCTTGGAACGCTATAGAAGTTCCTGTTTTCTGTCTCTTGTGCAAGTGGTTTGGACTAGTTTGAATTTGGCTATTGTGATTGTGTGTATTGCGCTACTGTTAGGCTGTTTTTATTTTTCCCTTGGATATTAATCTTCTTTAGTTCAGCTAGTAGAATGAACAAACAAAAGCCTCTGAAGAAAATAGGACCTGGCTTTGTAATAGATAATGGCAGCCAAGTGTCATCTTTGCATTCAGGATCATGATGGAAGAGTGAGTAGTTTTAATAGATGAAAACAGGACCTGAGCGTTTTTGTTGTCCAGCCGGATCTGGCAGTGAATGGCTAAATCGGTTGTCCTCACATCCCTTCAAATCTACTGTTTAAGTGATTTTATTGAAGCAAATGTTCTGTTTGTGTCATTAGGTTTCTTAAATAGTCAATCATTTAAAAACTACAAACCATTTTAGAACTTGGAGAAAATTTTATTATTTTGTTCAGAGTCCTACATAACAGTGGGAAGCTCAAAAACATTTTCCAGTACTCCCTTGCATTGTATTCTCTCACTTCTTCATACTCTCCTTGCACTCGCTGCCATCTTTGCAGTATCTGCCCTCACCCTATGTAAAAAATATTTACGCAACTGCAGCAAACATCTGAATAACAGCTCTTTTGAAGTGAATATCCTGGAATCACTTTTTGGTAAATGGAGCCATTGTGTGCCTTCCATTGGACTATTCACTCATGTCAGTGCATCAGACTTTACCAAGTTCCCCAAGATCCTAGGAAGCCTCTGCTTTCAACACACTTTCAGGCTGAGGAAATGATCTCTCCAGTGATTGAGGTTGTTGACATTTTCCCAGCTGATACTGCTTTTCATGGTTAAGCAAGTGATGAGTCAAATATGTGACATCTTTATTTTCTCTCTGATCTCTCAATCTGCTGTAATATTCCCTTTACTGGGAACTGATGAATGTGGTTTGCTAAGTAAATGAGTTTGCTTGATTATTTCTTGCCTTCAACTGGTTATGTCTATAAGGGGTTAGAATATTCACTTTCTATATCAACAGAATACTCGACTATTTTTAGTTTAATTCACCATTTACTGCAGAATGAAGCAGTACTGAATTGAGTCGTATTTATGCCATGTCATTGCTTACAGTGAGGTGACAAAAATGTTCATTTGATGTTTCCAGTCCACAGCGTTATTAGCAGAATATTGGTTAAAGTACAGATACTTTTTTTTCTTCTTTTATATACAAGAAGCAATTATGAAAAGATCTTTTATGTTTCTTTGAGAGATGTCTTTTATTTTATTCATACTTGGGATGTAGGTGTTGCTGACAAAGCTGGCATTTATTGCCCACCCACACCAAGACCATGTGAGATACTGTAAAGAATAAGCTGAGCTAGGTTGTGAACAACAAGGTAGCAAAGGATAAAATAAAGCTTGATTCATATATTGTCTGGAGAAGCATTCTTTTCTAAAGCTGCAAAATGCTTTTCAGCATCAGGGTGGTGTGCAATCCTTTGATTTTACAGCTCATCTGAGCTCTAAATATTATGTAGAACAAAATTCTTAGCACTTCGAAAACGTCAAACGTTTAATTGTTCAGCCTGCAAATAGTTTCTGATTATATTCAGAAGAGCACCAGTGAGTGGGCTTCAATAGAAGTATAATCTGAAGAAAGTCATACTAGTCATAGGGGTTTGTTCAGAGATAGTAGGAACTGCAGATGCTGGAGAATCCGAGACAACAAGGTGCAGAGCTGAATGAACACAGCAGGCCGAGCAGAAAGGCTGACGTTTTGGGCCGAGACCCTTCATCAGAAATGGGGGAGGGGAAGGGGGTTCTGAAATAAATGGGGAGAGAGGGGGAGGCGGATAGAAGATGGATAGAGGAGAGGATAGGTGGAGAGGAAACAGACAGGTCGAAGAGGCGGGGTTGGAGCCAGTAAAGGTGAGTGTAGGTGGGGAGATAGGGAGGGGATAGATCAGTCCAGGGAGGACGGACAGGTCAAAGGGGCGGGATGAGGTTAGTAGGTAGGAGATGGGGTTGCGGGTTGAGGTGGGAGGAGGGGATAGGTGGGAGGAAGAACAGGTTAGGGAGGCAGGGACGAGCTGGACTGGTTTTGGGATGCGGTAGGGGGAGGGGAGATTTTGAAGCTTGTGAAATCCACATTGATACCATTGGGCTGCAGGGTTCCCAAGCAGAATATGAGTTGCTGTTCCTGCAACCTTCAGGTGGCATCATTGTGGCACTGCAGGAGGCCCAGGATGGACATGTCGTCTGAGGAATGGGAGGGGGAGTTGAAATGGTTCGCGACTGGGAGGTGCAGTTGTTTATTGCGAACCGAGCGTAGGTGTTCTGCAAAGTGGTCCCCGAGCCTCCGCTTGGTTTCCCCGATGTAGAGGAGGCCACAACGGGTACAGCGGATGCAGTATACCACATTGGCAGATGTGCAGGTGAACATCTGCTTGATGTGGAAAGTCTTCTTGGGGCCTGGGATGGGGGTGAGGGAGGAGGTATGGGGGCAGGTGTAGCACTTCCTGTGGTTGCAGGGAAAAGTGCCGGGTGTGGTGGGGCTGGAGGGGAGTGTGGACTGGACAAGGGAGTCACAGAGAGAGTGGTCCCTCCGGAAAGCAGGTAAGGGTGGGGAGGGAAAAATGTCTTTGGTGATGGGGTCGGATTGCAGATGGCAGAAGTGTCGGAGGATGATGCGTTGGATCCGGAGGTTGGTGGGGTGGTACGTGAGGACGAGGGGGATTCTTTTTTGGTTCTTATTGCGGGGACGGGGTGTGAGGGATGAGTTGCGGGAAATGCAGGAGACACGGTTGAGGGCGTTCTCGACCACTGAGTGGGGGGGAATTGCGGTCCTTGAAAAACGAGGACAACTGAGATGTACGGGAGTGGAATGCCTCATCCTGGGAGCAGATGCGGTGGAGGCGAAGGAATTGGGAATAGGGGATGGCATTTTTGCAGGAAGGTGGGTGGGAGGAAGTGTATTCTAGGTAGCTGTGGGAGTTGGTGGGCTTGAAATGGATATCAGTTGCCAGGTAGTTGCCCGAGATGGCGACAGAGAGGTCCAGGAAGGAGAGAGAGGTGTTAGAGATGGTCCAGGTGAACTTAAGGTTGGGGTGGAAGGTGTTGGTGAAGTGGATGAACTGTTCGAGCTCCTCGTGGGAGCATGAGGCGGCGCCGATACAGTCATCAATGTAACAGAGGAAGAGGTGGGGTTTAGGGCCAGTGGATTTCACAAGCTTCAAAATCTCCCCTCCCCCTACTGCATCCCAAAACCAGTCCAGCTCGTCCCCGCCTCCCTAACCTGTTCTTCCTCCCACCAAGCCCCACCTCCATCTCCTACCGACTAACCTCATCCCGCCCCTTTGACCTGTCCGTCCTCCCTGGACTGATCTATCCCCTGCCTAACTCCCCACCTACACTCACCTTTACTGGCTCCATCCCCGCCTCTTCGACCTGTCTGTTTCCTCTCCACCTATCCTCTCCTCTGTCCATCTTCTATCCACCTCCCCCTCTCTCCCTATTTATTTCAGAACTCCCTGCCCCGCCCCCATTTCTGATGAAGTGTCTAGGTCCGAAATGTCAGCCTTTCTGCTCCTATGATGCTGCTTGGCCTGCTGTGTTCATCCAGCTCTGCACCTTGTTTTAGGGGTTTGTTCAGTTGGTTTCTGGGTGAGATGTAAGGAATCAACAAGTAAGAATGTGTATTGCTGAAAGAATAAATGTAAAGGCAATGATCTTGTCAAAGATTTCAATTTTACACATCAATTTGGTTTAAAAGGGAAAATGATTTTGTGTTTAGTTATTTATCTCTAACTCTAAATAATTTGCGGCTTTTAGAATTTTGGCCAAAATTCCTAATGATATTTGTATCCATTTCTGTGTCATTAAAGATGTCAATGTTTGAATGATGATTCGTCATACTTTGTTTGCCAGGGCAACTAAAAATAGCAAAGCTGTGTCTTAAGAAAAGGTGGCGTAGGAGTTAAGCCACAACCAATCCATGACTTATTGGTGATAAAATCAAGTAATTAGCTGAGAGAGACAAGTTGAGTAATTATAGTTTCATAAGTTAAAATTTTATTTAGTGACAGCAGATCAGTTATTGTCAGTACATTTATGCTGCTGTATTGCACTGGCACGTACCATTAGAAATCACGATCCAGGTGTTTAGATTTAGAGACATTTCTTGTTTTCTGGTACTTGTTTTCTGATGCCTTAAACCACCACCACTCCCCCTTTTAAAAATAAAATGTCAGGTTAAAGTTTTGAAGGAGCCTGTTTAAAATGTTGACCTTGTGAAATGTTGAATGCTGGTCTTTTATCTCCACTTTAATTCCTTGCATCTCTGCATCTTTGACCTGAGTTTGGCTCTCTGTTGAAATGAAAGACCATAAGAAAGTCTTCAGTACCTGTTGGCTGCAAGCAATTATAATGGTGCTGTGCAGACCTGACCCAGTCTTTAGTGGACATTGGCCTGTAACTCATAACTGATGCCACTAGAATACCGGATTGGTAATTTCTACAAAAGGGTGATACCTTATCTGTAGGCTATACAAAACGGTCCAATGGAGGTGCTGTGCTGAGATGAGCTGAGGCACAATATTATTGGGGCAGAATAAGGGGAGTTTTATTGCGTAGCTTACTCATTGTCTTTGCACTGCTTAGAAAAGTAATTAAAGATTAATTTTCAAAGCTCAACATAGGATATTGAGATAGAATAACAGCTGAAAAATGTGAGACGTAAGCACAAGATGCTATTGTATAGTATTTACCTGAAGACATGCCGACCTTTTGGAAAATCTATTAATCAAACATGGCTTACTGTTCCCTAGGAGACTTTTTTTCATCTTCAAATGGAACTTAACTTCTTTTTGTCCCCCTCCACAGTGGGAGACTTTGACAAGATCTGGCGTGAACACTGTGAAGATGAAGAGACTTTAAGTGAATATGCAGTTGCAATGAAGAATTTGGCAGATAATTATTGGGCCAAAAACTGTGAGGGTGAAGGACGGATTGAGTGGTGTCGAAGGTATGGCTTTTAAGAAAAAACAAACTTCAGTTAATTTTTTTAACGTCAATCAAATTTGATAAGGCCAGTATTTTAACAAAGTAAAATACATTTTCTATCACTCCTCATTCAGCGTGACTTGCAAATGCAAAATTGTTTCCCTATGGGAGAAAAATATTAGTACTACTGACCCTTGCCATGACGGTATGAGCAGGAGTGAGTCAACCTGTACAGCTTGGTAAACAGAATTTCTATGAATTTTGAGGACCTGCGCATACACTTGGCATCTTATTTTCTCCTGTTTTCAGATACGAGGCCAAGTAGTGAAACGGGCTCAGCTGGAAATTGTAATTAGGCAGGGTAACTGAAAGGAAAATCAAAAAGATGAACTTTGAGCAAGTTTTTAAAATGAGCAGTGTGATTTAGGAATGCCCCTTCACACACCCCTCGCACCAACGGAGTGTGAGATAACATAATCAACATACACAACTATCTGAAGCTTCCTTTCTGTAGAAGTGTTTTTTGGGGGAACCTTGAGATAATACTTGGAAAGGAACAAGAAGTACTTTTTAAAACTTTGTGTCTACTTGATAATTGGAAGTTCCACCTTGCATTCATCTCAAATAAGTTAATCTAGTTTGTTTTATGTTGTATTCCCAGGGTCAGTGGTTTAGATGATTTTCACAGTTTCTGCTTTAATTCACAGTTTGGAAGTCCACATGGGCAACTTGGGGATCACACTTTTCACTGTGAACAGGCATCTGAGTCTCTGCTTGGTGCTTTGCAAGGTAGCATGTTGACAAGCTAAATTCTGTGGTATGCAGGATCAGTCCTGGACAATAGCACTGTCATGGCTCCAAGTGATGTTGCTCCAACAATTTTTTGATGTCAGTAAAGAGCAGTGTTGCAATGGTAATAGTTGGTGGCCTCGGTTGCTGTTACGAGGTGAATGTATAGATAATATGTGAAGGGAGTATTTCTGCACAGCTTTAAGATAGATTTTTGTGCAACTTTCAATACAGCTGTATTGAAAGGAAAACCCAGTGAGTACAGTGTGTGTCATACCATGCACTCTGCGTAGAAATGTCCCTTCTGAAGTTGAGTGAAAGTACTTTTCAGAATGAATGCAACTGGCACATTGATGAATATTATCATATAAACTAGGCAGAACTTTTGTTGCTGCAACAGCTTCCTAATGCAAAAAAAATCCATTTCCCAGTGGTTATAATCTAAAAATATGTACTGTTTAAGTGATGGCCGTAGAGTGTTGGTATGTTCACCAGACACGTTGATTTCATTCCATTGGAGTTGTATGTCATATTGAATTTCAACTGTTTATCATGAGACTATAAGCAAAGATGCTGGAACTCTGAAATTTAAAAAAACGTGCTGTGAAACTCTTGTGCTTTTTTAGTGCTAAAAGCACCATTTCCCAATACCCCTCTTTTCCAAAGAAAAGTCACATTCCAGTCGACGCATTTATTCACTTTTTCTCTGTACAGATAGTTAGTTTGTCCAACACTTTGTTTTTAATTCACAATGAGGATGTCCTTTAAATTTATAATTGAAAGGATGACCAAGTCGGTCTGTTTTGTCTCTGGATCGCTCACTGTAATGAATACTGTAGTCAGTGGTTAGTACTACATATGGCAAATCTACTTGATGCTTATCCTGTTAGAATTGCAACGTTGAAGTCCCTTAAGATTTGTCTGCCTTATTTCAATATGCAGTATACCTTTGTTAATTTGAAGTCAGTTAGTTCAAATAACTGATTAATGTGAGGTGTTCTAAAAATCTTCCCAGTGCTATTTGCTTAATAAATATGATGAGTTAAATCAAATTCTAATATGAAAGTAAGATTCTATTGACAAGATACTGCTGACTGTACAGCACATGAACTGCAATGGTTCAGGAGGTAGCTCACAGCCAGCTTCTCAAGGGCAGCTAGGGACAACACTAAATGCTGGCCAGGCAGCAATGCCAACATCCTGCAAATGAACAAGAAAAAATGTAGACCTCTAATAGCATTGGTTAATGAGTCATAAAAGACTGATGATCTAGTGTTTGAACCCAGTGATCTGAGAGTGAAGAGCAAATATAAATTTATCAGACAGCACATATCTAGTGTATCTTCTAATTTGTGTTCAACTGTTATGAGTACTACTTTGATTTCTTCAGAGCAATTGCTGAGATGGTTGACTTATATGACAAGTACATCTCGTCACCCTCCCCCTTCATTACATTGGATGATGCTTGCACTTTGCCATTGTTGATTGTTCATTTTGTTCTAGCTTTGAGCAGTTATTATAATTGGTTGAGTACAATGCCAGCTTCCGTCTCTATGTGATATTGCTGATGTTTCCATGCTGTTGAAGCCTTCTATTTTCACTGGGTGTTGCATGTTATTCTAACAGCTTGTCAACAGTAATCCAAGAAAGAAAGCACGCAATGATCAGAAATACTTGTGTTCTGTTTTTTGTCTTGCTGTTTTACCAACAAACGTGCATATGATAAAAGTACGCATGCACAATGATGGTGTCTATTAATCAACTTTTACTTACCAAAAATTTAATTAAGTAACATTGGGATAATGTATTGAATAAGAGTGGAATAAAACATCTTCTATTGTAGATCTGTTGAAATTTTTCTTTTTAAATATTGTGCCTTTAATTTGCCTACCACAGTGAAAAGTGAGAGTGAGCTTTAAGAATTCAATATTAGTTGTGAAGATGGACACTATATCAAATT